TCCCCTAGCATCTTCCAGTCACAGGCCCCTCGGAGCTGACCATGCTCAGAGAAGTGGGACTGCACCTGGCTGCCTTTGCCCCCATGCGGACAAAGTTCTCCATCTGCAGTGGATTGGGTGCTGATGGTGGTAGGGAGTTGGAGGCAGTCCATTTGTTTTCCAGGGTGGCTGCGAGGATCTAAAGGACGTGGTTATGACGCCAAGTGTAACGTCCCTGGGTGAGGTTGACTCTACGCCCGGTCAGTATATGCTTCAGAGAACCTGGCCTGGTGCAAAGGGCACATCCTGGATCTTCACCCAACCACTGATGGAGATTGCTAAGTGTTGGAAGAACATCATATGTAGCCCTGATGATGAAGCTGATTCGCTTCGCTTCGATGCTCCACAACTCCTTCCAGCTGATCCTCCTCTCTACACACTATCCCAACGTGTCCACTGTCCCTGTTTACCAAGGGAAACTGCCTTGGTCCACCATCTTGTCTGTGTATTTCCTCCACCACCAATTGCCTCCTTTCTGGTGCTGTATTCCAGGCTGGTGGCCTAGTTGTTAGCCCAAGGCCTTCCCTTCCCTTCTGGACATGCCCCACTATGTCCACAAGTCTGAGAATGGCTGCTGCCTTCTCCACCGCACTGGTTGGTCTCCATTTGTGACCGGCCACCAAGGTCGGTGCGTTGTTACTCACCATTGCATCACAAGATTCAATCAGTGTCATCTGTAGTCTTACTTTAGCACACTTGAATTCCTCTGCGAGACTGGTGAGGATCAGTTTGAGGCATCGAGGCACTCCAAGCCATTTCTTGATGTAGCCTGTGATTCCTCTTTCCAACTTCTCCACTGTTGAGATTAGGACCTCAAAAATGGTAAGGGGCCACAATTATATATATATATATATATATATATATATATATATGAAGAGTTCAGATGCAAAAGCCTCTAAATGCCATTTGAAATTTTCTTCTTTAATGATGATTTTTTTTTCAAACTTGTATATTCAAGTTCAGTAATTTCACTTAAATAACAATTAATAGGTAATACCATTGCCATTTAAGTGAAATCACTGAACTTAAATATACAAGCTTGTCATAAATCATCATTAAAGAAGAAAATTTCAAATGGCATTTAGAGGCTTTTGCATCTGAACTCTTCATATATATATATATATATATATATATATATATATATATAATTGTGATTTTATAATATTAAGATATGAATCCAACTTGAGTAAAGATATCTTTCTGTTAGTTAAATATAGTGGAGCTCTGTAGCTATCTAGTGGTTAAAGTGACTGCACTTCCCAAAAAAATAAATAAATAAAATTATAAAATTATCCATGAATGAAAGTTAGAAATCTGTATCATTTATAAAATGAATTTTACGTTTTTTTTTTTGTTTGTTTGGTTTTTTGTAAAAAGCCTATTTAAATAAATATTTATTTATAGAAATTTAAAATATATCATTAATCATCCAAAAATTGCACAAATGTTGAGTAAAAACATTAATAAACAGAATAAAATTTAATTTGTAAAAAAAAAAAAAAACTATTATTCTGTTACAAAATTAAATGTTATTGTCGGGGTCCCTGGAGACCCCAAAGATTTAGTGTCGTCCCCAAACTAAGAGAATCAAAGGGTTAAGCTGGTGTGGCCTGTTTCTTTCAGCAGAGAGCATCTGGGAAATGGGTCTGGCTGCTATGATCCATGTGTCAGGATGAGTATGGAGATTAGTGACTGACTGAGGGCAATTTTGGTCAGCTCGGATGATGAGCGGGGTGTTGAGACAGGAAAACAGGCCTCAAAACTGTCATCATGCACTGCCTCTCGTTAACCACACTACTGCTCACTCTCACTAATCATAACTGACACTGCCACACATCCCACTGCTGCTTATTATGCAGTGAACGCTTTAGAGGGCAGTGGGAAAAACTGAAGAGGTGATTTACATCAGAGCGCTTGTGGTCTTAGAAACAGAGGTCTGTGTAATGTCTGCTCAACTTGTTTGCTTTTAAGATGGTTAAACAGTCTGAGATCATTTTTGTAAGGGTCTGCCATCCTCCTATGGCATTCATATCCTCTCACGGATTTACTTTTATTTTGCCAGTGGTTCAAAAAAGCCTTGTGGATGGGTTGTATTTTAAGCTGTAGTAAAATAGGTGTTCAGTTCGGTTCGGTTTTCTAAAGTCGCCAAAGTGAAATGTAACGGGATTAGTGACGCTCATTGGAAAGTTTTATATCAGCAACCAGCATAATAAAGTTTGTTTCTTTGACACAAGGGGTATTTCTATTCATTTTAATAGACGTTGGCATTATCATGTTGCTTAGCTAACAACACACTGCTCTAAGCACAAAATACTATGGATGGATGGATTTATAGAAAGAATGTCATTTATTTCAAATATAATTTCATCCTTGCTGAATAAAAGTGATAAATTCTTTTAAAAAAAACACACACACATCAACCTTATTTTCTTGGCCGATTCCAATTTTTTCGTAAGTGTGACTGGCCTATTCCAATTTTCTTTCAAATAACTAGGCTATAATTTACAGCACAAAAAAAAAGAAAAGTTTTTTTCGTGGCCTCTATCGGTGATGTTTCAGATTGCAACCAATTTTTACATGAGTGCATGTGCTCGAACACAAGAGTGGTACACGGCCACACTGAGACTTTACACAAACCAGAGAAAGCATCACGCAACATGCTGGAAACTCACGTAAACTCCCACTGCAACGTTACAATAATAGGCTAGTTTTATCAGCTTGACTGAACTGATGCTCCATGCTCGTACCATGATAATGTTACATTTGTGGTGTTATCTAGCATAAGGCATATTCGTGTATCTTTCACAATCAGCAATGTCAACATAGGTGAATGTATAATATGATAACGAAAACGGTTAGACAATTTCAGTGTAACGGTAAGATCGTAGGAATTAATATTACTGTAGTGAACATGTCTGGAAATGTGTATTATAAACCATATGATGGTAGTGGGATGTGTGACATTAGACAGTAGATCTAGTACATAAAATAAAAGTTACATGCTAAAGCACCTTGGAACAGTCTTTTGTGTTAATTTCATGTCTCATCTACAGTATGTTGTAGTTTACCTTGCTATTTCATTATAGTTTACCATTATTTCAGCATATCTGAAAACTTGAAATTTTTCACAATAAAAATAAATAGCGGAGGCCTCTCCATAATTCAAACACTCTGCCGATGTTGATCCGTGTTTTCGTCGATCCGATTCACGTTTGGCCTGACGAGATTCAGCAGATACATTTTTGTTTTGTTTTGTGTTTTATATTTATGTGGAGTGTGTGTTGAGCTGGACGCAGGAGTGTTTTGGTGTTATCAGACTCATGTCGGTCAGCTGCAATGCCGTCGCATAGACTGTGTATAAAAAGGAGAGAGGCTCGGGAGCGAGCATGCACATCACATCCGATGGATTTCGCAGAAAATCCGACCTGGAGACTTCACATAGAAATAGGAATACTGGCCTTCAGAGGTAATAGCAAAACCCGACAAGTGGATCATTGTAAAGTGTGATTACAACCCCTTCACACACAGGCAATAAAAAAAGGATTAATTTTAGAAGAAAAGTTCCATATAGCACCTTTAAAAGACAGTAACAAAAAAAAGAAAAACTAAAAACAAATTTCAAACAACAGCACAAGTAAATACAATAGAATAGAGAGATATGATATAAACAAGGCTTTAGGTTTTTCCAGGTGGGAATACAGGTTAAGAAATACTACAGATATTAAACTAATCGAATTTTAAATAACACTAAATAGTCTTCAGTGTAAAAATAAAATACAGATTAATGCTCACAATTAGTTACAAAAGTTATTCAGAGAGTGATGATGCCAAGTCTGTGGTTTTCCCATGGAATTGGGTTACTTAAAGTTGTTGCCGCCTTGTAAAACTAAACTGTCAACTATGTACGTTCCAAAACTGACTGTTTAACTGAATACTCGCCAAGACGGGCATTTTGACATAATTTTGTGTTTGAGAGAAGGCTTGTGCAATCCACTTATCAATGGTTCGCAATGCTTTTAGTGTGAGCGCGAAACCTGCGGGAATTGGTCAAATAATGCGCAATACAAGCACTATTTAACCGGACAGAATGAGGCGAGTGAGTGAGAAGAGGCAGGTGTGTGTCACTTCACCGTTGGATAGAAGAGAGCAAGAACTCACACTGACGTTATTGCCTGTGTGGACCGGCCATGAATCGGAAAGACGTGAAAGTGACCGGCCGGTCCCTGGCTGGTCGATCGGTTTTCTTCACACTTTGTTTGTCGCATTTTCTTATAATTTTATGCTGCTTTAGAAATTGCCTACAAGAAGGGGATTTTGAAGGCGGCATAATTACACTTCCTGGAACAGCCTCTTTTTTTTTTTTTTTTTTTGGTAGCATGCTTATCATGGCTTAAAAGCCTGCCAGCTCACTTTGGCACAGGGCCTTTATGCATAATATCACCTACAATTATGCTAATGAACTATATTACAACTTCTCATTTGTTTAACATTAGTGCCTTGTATTATAAAACTATTGTCAATATTTTATAAAAGCATTCTTATATAACACCACTTTTCTTATAACATCTCTTAACTGTGTCTTATGTTCTTTATTTAAAGGGAGTAATGGGATCAGGACATGACACAGTCCTAACTTGAATAATTTTACAAGTCAGTGTGGGAAGTTCGAAATAGTTCTGTAATCATTTACCATGATAAATGTTTGTCTGGTCATGTAGGGTAAAAGTAGATGATACGCTTGAGTTATGTTAAAAGCTGCACCCATCTTTTCACCCTTATCTCTCACAAATCCCCTAAAAACTCCCTGGTTACTTTGGATCTTTACTTGTGAGTGAGTCATGTCTTAATTTGTTCAATCCTTCTTGCTAAAGATGATTTTATACTTTATCCTTAAACCTTGTCTCTCTGATAATCGGGTTTATCTACTTTTCAAATAACTGAAGAATATGATGTTGTTTCAGAGTCCAGACGGGCGTGTGGAGGTGCGAGGCCGTTATGGCGAATCCATGCTGACTATTGTTGGAGTCAGGCTATCTGACTGGGGACGCTTTGACTGTGAGGCTCTCAGCAGAATCGGTGGACATCAGAAGAGCATGTTCCTGGATATTGAGTGTGAGTGGTCTAAATGTTCAATGCAGGGTGGAGAAAAATTCTGAATTGATCTGGATTTGAATTGAAATTTTCACAGTTTTAAATAAACTGAATTGGTATTTGAATTGGAGTGGCGGGAAGAGTATAATTGAAGAGTTCAGATGCAAAAGTCTCTAAGTGCCATTTGAAATTTTCTTCTAGAATGATGATTTTTATCAAGCTTGTATATTTAAGTTCAGTAATTTCACTTAAATGGCAATTCATAGGTAATCTTCATTGTCATTTAAGTGAAATCACTGAACTTAAATATACAAGCTTGATAAAAATGATCATTTTAGAAGAAAATTTCAAATGGCACTTAGAGGCTTTTGCATCTGAACTCTTCAATTGCATCATTAAATTAAACAAATGATGCCTATTCACTATTTTTAATTTTATAATAATACTAATTGTATTTATTTATTCTGGAAATACCCATTATGTTGTGTGTATGATATCATATGTGTACTGAAAAATGAAATGTATAATGAAAAAGCTTCGTTTAAATCAACATTTCATTTCACGTCCTAAAATTCAAATTACAATTCTGTATTATGTCTCCTACTGTATCCTTAGAACCAGCAGCAGGGTAGATATATATCCCATTATGGGGTGCACTGGAATGGACCATCTAGCAGGGTTGCTAATATACTCATTCATTCAGGCTCAATCTGTCACCGATGTGACACTGTGGGCTGCATCAATCTCTTTAATGGAAAAAATGGGTGTGATTGTGTGTGTGTGTGTGTGTGTGCTGTTCCTCTGTGTCTGTCTATGTGTGTGTCTGCCGGTGTATGTGGGTGTAAGACTGAGAAATCACATATAAGGCTGCATTTCCCAATATCACGATACTCTCTATCTCACACACTCTTGCCTCATTGCGTTTCTCTTTCATACTGCCAAATGAAATCTTCCACCACCCACTGCATTGTGGGAGAAGATGGGGTTTGAGTGTATGTGGGTTGTTTTGAAAAATTAAAGGCAACCTGCTAGAAGTGGCCATGCTTTAGATTCAGTATGATTAGGAGCGCATTTTACCCTGGTGAAAAAGAACTCCATGATAAAGTGTTTGGTTTACTCGAACGTGGAAGATCATACCTGCTTGGTACATGCTCAGATTTAATTTAGACTTCGGGCTGCTAATCTTGAGTTTTTGATGGATGACTGTTAGAAGAGCTTGGCGTGCCATTGAGTACTCTGTTCTTTCACAGATGCACCAAAGTTCCAGACCAACCACACTATATTTTTCTCGTGGGAAGGGAACCCGGTCAACATCAGCTGTGATGTTCTGTCTAACCCTCCGGCCACAATGCTGTGGAGACGGGAAAAGTTGACCATCCCCAGTGAGGGTGCTGGAAATATGCGAGTGCACAGTGTCCCCGGAAAATCGCTCCTAGAGGTAACCCACCCACTGCTGTCAGATAGTCTCACTCCCATTGGATCTTTGTGTTTGCTAAGATAGGAAGACTAAAGGAGTAAGACACTAATGACATCCAGACCCTAGCCCATTACTGGAACGTCATAATGCAAACAAGTAGTTAGTACATTTTAATTCGTATTTCTTACATTTTAATTCCTGAAATTTTTCATTAAAACGTTAGTATTTTTTTTTTTCAAGTTACATTGACTTTTTTGCTTTTTTAAAATGTAGCTATTAATGCTGCCATCTGGTTTGTTTAGGAAGCTAAAAATTAATTATAAGAAATACGGAGAAAAGATACAATTAAATAATATATAAAATAAATAATGTAAAAAATATAAATGAATAAAAATATCAAAACCATTTTATTCAGTGTATGATAATATTAATACATTTTAATGTAAGTTTTTTGCATGATAAACAATTTTGGTGCTGTGTTGGATTGCCTCTAAATCAGTGTTGCCAGATTGGAAATGACCAAGTAGCGTACCAGAAGTTCAAAATTATCGTATTTGGAAGAAAATGATTGTACACGAGTCAAACGTACAGCTATTTATCTAGACCAACAACTTTTTGACACAGCCTGCAAATTGATTTTTCTACTAAACTATCAACCTCAGTTTGGAAACAACTGACTTAAAGGGTTAGTTCACCCAAAAATGAAAATTCTGTCATTATTTACTCACCCTCATGTTGTTCCAACCCCGTAAGACCTTCGTTCATCTTCAGAACACAAATTAAGATATTTTTTTATTAAATCTGAGAACTAGATCACTCCTTCATACTAGTCCATAGGCTTCTTGAGGGATTGAAACTTGCCGTCCTCGAAAAGTTATTAAAGACTTCATTAAAATAGTCCAAATGACTACAGTGACTACAGTAAGTTTATCAAACGACGAGAACACTTTTTATGCGCAAAAAAACAACAAAAATAACGACTTTATTTCAACTATTCATTTACTTCTCTCACTGCCTCAAGTCAGGTTACTAGTTTAATAATGTAACCTTCTGTTATTGTATGTCACATGCATCACACACATGACCAGCATCGGCCAATAGTGAGCCTATGTGTGACGTAGCTTTACGCAATCACACTACGTTAACTGACTACAGGCCCATGGAGAAGGACGTGAATAGTTGAAATAAAGTCGTTATTTTTGTTGTTTTTTCGCACAAAAAGTGTCCTCGTCGCTTGATTAAGTTAAGATTGAGCCACTTAAGTCACTTGGACTATTTTAACGATGTATTTAATAACTTTTTTGTGGACGGCAAGTTTCAATCCCTCAAGAAGCCTATGGACTAGTATTCATGAGTGATCCAGCTCTCAGATTTTATCAAAAATGTCTTAATTTGTGTTCCGAAGTTGAACGAAGGTCTTACAGGGTTGGAACAACATGAGGGTGAGTGAATAATGACAGAATTTTCATTTTTGGGTGAACTAACCCTTTAAGCGCAGGAACGTTAACTTCAGCTTGGGAGAGTTATTCTCCTCGATGATTGGCCGATGAGAATATGAGATGAGATGGAAGACAAGTGTAACACCACATTCACGTTCTCCTCACAGTCATGACATTGGACCACAACGACCATCATTTTAATTGTCACAAAATTCTGAAATTATCATACATTATGGGACTTTTTTTTAATAAATGATCGTACAAATATGTTAAGTATTGTACGTCGGCTAGATTATAATGTAAAACCTGAAACATATTTTGCTAAAACATTCAGGCTACAGGTGTTGCAAGCTAGAAAATGATTGTCAGCAGTGAATTTTATTTATTGATACAAGCAGATTTGCCTTTCTTCTGTGAAGACTCAACAACACTTCACTCCACTGGAAACAGATGTGTCCTCAGCCGTTATTTTTACGGAGCAGTATAAGTGTCAAATGAACACAAGAATAGCAAAACAACATCTTGTCATTAGAAGTATACAATGACAAGAATGTGAAACAAGAGAAATGTAGGCATGTATGATCTCACTAACACATTGTCCTCAGGTTACCCCAATGTCAGACAGAGATTTTGGCCGTTACAACTGCACAGCCAGGAACAACATTGGGATGCGCTTCCAGGAGTTCATCCTAGCTCAGGCAGGTGAGTGTTTAGAACAGGTTCAAATAATCCACCTGATTACCGTGTCTGTCACTAGCTGCATGACAATAGTAATAGTTCATTTTCAATGCTGAAATATTTGATTTTAAACCTAGTTAATCAAGTAGAGACAACAATGTTTCTCATATAGATTAAATTTCAGAGGACCTTAACCACATTGAATTATGAATACTGTGATGGGAGACGCTAGTTACGATTTTACTGTAACTTCAAGTGGAATTGCAAATAATAATTATTATTTCCAAACAGCTTACCTAAATACTCCAAATGCTTCTAATATGGAATGCGGGAATCCCACCCCAAACTCATTTCTGTAGTGGAGCGTAGAGATCTATAATACTTGGAGAAAGCTATCTTTTAGCATTCCCCTTCATTTCAATGGCAGTTACTTGACTTTCTGAAGTGATAAAACAGCAGAGCCCTTAAAGGAGAACTCGAAACTGCAAAATGAACCTTTGGTCTAATAAAACATTGGTACCTAGTCGACCGTTCTCTGAGATTTGTTTTCATGATAATCGAATGTAATGAGTATGGGGGCATATGTGATGCGATCTGGGAAAACCCGTCGGATGTCGCGCTGGTACATTTTCAGTAATGTCTAAATATAGATTGAATGTCAGTTTTTTTGTCAAAATTGTTTTGTTTTTTTATTAAATTATTATTCTATAACATCTTGTTCATCATCTCTGAATATATCTTGGAAAAATTCACTAGTTTAGTGCAGAAAAAATAGCGATTTATAATGTCCAGCTGAAAAGACTGTTTCTCTTTAACACACAGGCGGAGCGGAGGGGCAAAAAACAATATCTCCCGTTTAGCTCTCCGTCTCTTAACACTACAAAGACAGTTCACCTATCAAAATAAACCACATAACAGAATAAAGTCCAGTCCTGGGTGAACTACAACAGCCCGCAAGTTTTTATTTATTTATTTTTATCCAGCGTTATCGTTTGGTGTGATGCGGAGCACAAGAGTACAACAGAATTTGAAGCTGCTCGCTTAAAAGATCTTGTTCGCCTCTCTGTTGTCCAATTTTAAAACGGTTTTCACAGGATGAATTTTGAGTTTCTAAGCTTTCAAATGACACCTAATCTATGACGACTATGAAAAATGTAATATAAAAAAGGCAATAAAAAAGGAGCATCAGTCGTCACGCTAACAGGACGTGACCGTTAATTAAACCTTTTTTTCCATAAGTTTGTGTCTGGACGTGAGAGAGAAAAAAATCACAGGACAAGTTAATAACTTTTGGAGGCTAGCTCTATTTATCATCAAAACAAATGGAAGATCAGATGGATGGGGGCGAGGGTGATCATCGCTCCGATGCAGGACAACAGGTCATCAAACTTTACTTGGGACAGGCGGAAGCACCGCTGACAGCGGCCGTCATCCAGCGCAGTTCCTGGAGCAAGCAAATGGTGAAACTCGCCAAACAGTTCGCCTCTGAAGAGTCCGGTGGACCCAAATATGGCGACAATGACCGTCACCCTACGCCACTGTTCTGCTCTTCAGAGCAAATACAGAGCAGTGACTCTCGATGAATGCTCGATCAACATAAAAAAGATGGCCGCCAACGGTTTTCGATTCTGACGCGTGTAAATTTCGCTTCAAATTTTTGTTTTTACATGCGTCAGTTTCACTCTTGACGCATGTAAATTAACACTAAGTGGTCAAGCTTCAAACTAGACGCGGTAGACGCGAATTTGATGCGCTCCGGTGTGAACGCAACCCAACTCTGCCCCCTGATCCCTTAACCCAACCCTAATCCTACCCATCTCCACCCCTTGGATCTTGATCCGACTCCTCCCCCTGGATTTCATGTACTGCATTGAGGTGCTACTGAAAATATTTGTCAAAATGACCCAAGCAATAGATGAGGATTTTAAATGTTGTTTGTAAAAATAAATAAATTAATTAATTAATTAATACATTACATGACTACTTTTGAATGGTCGTTAATGGGAAAACAGGGTTTTTGGGTCAATGTTGTATAGTTTACATGCGAACCAGTCAAACTATGACTTGGGTCTAAAATGTAAGTGTCAACATCTCAACCAACAGCATGCGTTTGGAACAGGGTTATCTGTTTGGTGGAATAATGACAAATGGGGTGTGAGGAGTGTTCAGGAAACTGTGATTATTTCAATTCTGCTTGATGCCACAGAATTTACTCACCTCACCTTTAATGCTTGAATGGATTTTTGGCACATTAAAAGTCCCAACCAATCTTACTGTTGTCTAAGCCTGTCCATATACAAAGTACATGTAATCTCTCCTCACAGAGCTCCTCAGCAGATAATAATGACTTTTGCATCAGGCTGTACGCCGTGGCCACGCATGAAGTAAACACGCTTTAGCTTTCAAAGAGCCAGCAAAAACATTTTTCGAGTTACTCAAGCTTTAAAGAGCTTATGGCAGCAGCCTTTTCAAATATAAGGCAGATCACTCTGACGGATTGTTGTCCACTGTTGTTAAATTGTTTGCGTCTTGAAGTGTTTACCACAATGAAAACACATCAATATGAGTGCAAGTGCTTGTCTTTGTTGTAAACTGTTTCCTACCTAGTTCTAGCAGATAGACAAAGGTGGAAGTGGATTCTGTGACACATTTTGTGTCCATCTCTGCTACACCCTAATGTCTCTACCTCTCCCTCATCCTCTATAATGCACACCTACTTTGTTTCTCTGTCATCCTGCTCCCTCTCCTTGTTACATTCGCTATTTCTGTTTCCATCAGTTGTCTGGCTCTCCAATACACAGATGTTTGTTTTTTTAGTGCAGTCTGTGTTTTCTGGCTTTGCATGGCAAAAAAAAAAAAAAAAAAAACAAAACAAAACATAAAATACCTGAAACTATGCCATACCGCTCATAGTACATTCTTGAGAGGTTTAGGCAGGGTACAACATGTTTTTGTATCAGATTGGCAGCATATTGGTTTGTGTCACCTGAGGACTTTATGAGATAATATTGGTACTTCTGTTATGATAGAGCCTGCATGGAATCATTCATGAAATATGATGTATCCCACACACTAGTGCTTTTGTTTATCAGTTAGTTTGTCTAATGTCTATATTTTTCAGCTACCAATCAGAGTGTATGTGCACTGTAAAAAACATATTTTCAAGATTTGTTATCACAACAGTTTTTCTTTTGTCAAATCAACTTAAATATTTTATTCAGTTCAGATAGCTTATTATTTTGAGTTTCTGACGATTAAATCAATCTCCTACATTTTATTAACCAACTTTTTCCTGTTCAATCAACTTAAAAATTTAAGGCAGCCAGGTTACTTAATTTTTTTAAGTTAAACCAACAATATTTAATGTTGCCCGTCATGTACAATCAACTAGATTTCTTTTGTAAATTACAGATAATTTTAACTTTGGAGGGCACTCAGCATTTTGTGGTATTTCACTGTAAAAAAATATTTTCAAGATTTGTTATCACAACATATTTTATTTTGTCAAATCAACTTTATAATAATTTATTTAGTTGAGATGACTTATTATTTTGAGTTTCTGATGATTAAATTAATCTCCTTCATTGTATTAAGTCACTTTTTCCAGTTCAATCAACTTGAAATTTTAAGGCAACCCGGGTTACTTACTTTTTTAAGTTAAACCAACAATATTTTTTTTTACAGTGTAGTAATCACAACATTTTTTCTTTTGTCAAATCAACTTAAATAATTTATTTAGTTCAGATAACATATCATTTTGAGTTTCTGATGATTAAATCATTCTCCTTCATTGTATTAACTCACTTTTTCAAGTTCAATGAACTTAAAATTTTAAGACAACCAGGTTACTTAAGTTAAACCATCAATATTTTTTTACAGTGTTCAAGCTGTTTTCAAGCCTTCAGACAATTAAACTTGAGTCTAAATACTATTTATATACTATTAATACTATTTAAATACCTATTTATCACTTTATTATTATTACATTTAATCACACATTAAACATTGGTGTATTTTAACGTAACATTTTACAATAAAGTTTCATTTCTTAAGATTGCGGTAGTTAGCTACATTAGTTAACATGAGCTCACAATGAATAATACTTCTACAACATCTTAGTTAATGTTAATTTATACATTTATTAATGCATTTTCAAAATCTAAAGTTGTGTAACATTGTTTATGCACTGTGAATTAACATGAACATTTTACTGTAACTACTGTAACATTAACCTTGATTAAATAATATATAAATATATTGATATAGTTCATGTTAACCCTTTTAACATTTTTCTTTACAAAAACATATTATTTTATAAAAGCAGTAAGCCATGAGAGGGGCTGTTACCATGATTTTACCATTGATTTTAGGCAGTTAGAATATCTTCTGGCTTACTTCTATTTAGGCTATTTCATTTTCCCTTTCAATCTATTTTCTTAACTTTCAAACTTCATTTGACATTGACATGTATTTTTCATATAAGATGGGAGTACAGTGCAGTCCTTTCTTGCTGAGTGTGTTTGTGGTCTTAAAAGTATTTTGCAGAGGGACCTTGGATTGTAAGACCCTGAAAGCAGCTTTATAACTGTTTTCTATACCCCACAGAAAGACACACAACCAGTTCCTTTGATACTCTCGGAAACTGTGGCCTCGGCACTTAAATGGAGTCGTTTGTTAGTCTCTCTTTCCCTGACCCATAATTTCTCTGTCACAGATGTTCCCTCAAACCCTTACTCTGTTCGGCTGAGCTCGGTGGCACAGCGCGTGGCCACAGTTACCTTCACCAAGCCTGACTCCCATGGCGGTGTACCCATCAGTTACTACCTGGTCAAATACAAAGACATCAGCTCACAGGACTGGAAGGATGTGAAATCACAGGGGACGCAGAGTAAGTGCAATGGTTGTTCGCTGAATGTTGTGTTTGATCAATTCCGCTGTTGAACTGTAAAATTATAGATGAAACAATTTAAAGTATCTTACTGACCCTAAGCTTTTGAATGGCACAGTATTTCCGGGAGTAAATTAATCTATCACATAAAATCCCAATGTTGTTCACATATTTAAAGCAATTGATTACTAAATATTGATTTCTTATTTTCATTAAACCATTAAAAAATATTTCACCCACAAATTAAATATACTTAATGACTTTCTTTCGTCCATAGTACACTAGTGTTTCACACAGGGTTTTGTGAAAATGTGGTGGCTGGATCTCTGTCCCTCTAGTCTGAGGGGGATCCAGGGGCATGTCCCCGTAAGAACATTTTTCACATTTTAAAGTTAAATTCATCAGTCTGGTGCACTTTGAGAGTTCAAAATAAAGATCTCCCACCTGTATTCAGAGTGCAAATTAAACAAAGAAAAAGTCAGTGCATTGACTTGTACTTGAACTTTAAAAGGGCTCTCTTTTTAGTTGTGATATACTGTAGTATCTCAGTCTACATTACACTACGTAATCCCAACTGGCATTTTAACATCGAGTCACTGTTGAATCAACGCAGGTGCCAGTGTTGGACAACCATTGAATTTTGAGGTTGTACTGTAGCCAAATAATGTTGATTTGGCATACAACTGAAAAATTGTTGATATTTTGTTGAATCCATGTGAGTTAACAACACCACTTCAACTATTTGGTGTTAAACGTTGTTTTGACGTTGAATTCATGTTTTTTTTTTTTTTTTTTCATAAACTGACATTATTTAAACAACATTTCAACGTTTAATGTCAGTCGAATGCCAGCTGGGATAATACTAATGTTAAAATAGTATTTCTATGACAGTAATAGCTATATATTGTCAAACAAATCCACTAAAAAAAATAAATTAAACTTTCATAATTAGTTTTGTCCCAATTTCCAGATCTCATTACAAATCTAATGAAATTCGGTAATCGTCAACTATGCAAATTTGAAAATAATGTGTAACTGTTGGTGCCCACTACGTTCCTTAATGCACACTAAACTCAGCATGGGCAGATGGAGTTCAATGCATTCATTCACTGTGAATCAAGACATAAAGCTGATCATGTGCATACTTCTCGTTGCACGGTGCAAACAAACAGTCTTTAACACTTTTATAAGGACACAAAGCTTTTATCAAGTTTTCAATTGTAGTTTGTTTGACAGCAATGGCGCAAAACACCACATTAAAGACCTTTCATTGTGGCGATCAATGTTGAAATTGTGGCAGGCCGCCACAAATAAATCAATGTATGGGGAACACTGTACACAAAGATTAATTATTGAAGAGTATCCTGTCAACTATCTTAAATTTAATAGAAGTGAAAGGGCATTTGGGCTATCAAACTCCAAAATTACCCCAAAAAAGCACCATAGCATAAAGGAAAGGAATCAAAAAAGACCATCCTGCATTTCAAGTGTTCTGAAGTCATATGGATAGCTATGTGTGACAAAACAACGCATTCTCATCCTAGGACGTCATATAGACGAATCCGGCGAAACTACCGGAAGTAAGCGGGCGCCATTACTGAGCTGTTCCTGGGTAGCGTTGCGCCATTGCCTTCTATTGTTTTAGTTGCAACTTGCGTCCACTGGAATAAACAGCTCGCGATTTACGACTGTCACTAACGTTACAACGTTAGCCCTTGTATAATGTCGAGTGGGTAAACAGTTTCCGTTATAAATTGTTTTAATGGTGGCAGTAAAATTTCAATTTTGAAGAGAAAACATTGTGAATACCCCGGGTCGACTGCCACTGTCTGGTGCCGTACGGTTTACACAGATTTCCTGGGCGAGTACAAGACGCGGACATTCGCGTATAATAACAATTATTTAATGACATAAGTAAAAAAATATAATAAATGTGTGATATAGTGATCAGCAAAATCTCCTCTCTTGTTATTTTTTTCTATTCAATTTACATGCTATGGTCATTAAATGGCTTTCCTGAGCTGAATGTAACGTTATGTGACATAATTGTTCTCCTGCTGTTATATTGACTTCTTTCCATGGTTTAAAAACAGTAGTTGGTCGATATTATGTATACTTTCTATCTGTAACGTTACCTTACCCATGCCCGTTGCAATGTAAAAATGAGATAAATAATGGACACAAATGAAAAACATGAAATTGTTTATTTGATTTCATTTATTTATTTATTTATTGTTGCCAAATGGACAGATCTTTTTTTAGTTTCCTCGGTAGCAAACATTAGCCTAGCTTGCTTGCCAAGCTATTTTCATAAATAATCTGTAAGATCGTTTGTACCTTCATCTGTGACTGGAGGCCAATGTCTAACATCATCAACCCAACAAGTCTGCCTGGCTGTAGCTGTCATCAAGGGTGCGTTATCACCTTATCTCCGAGGTTTGTTTACATACTGGTGCATATGTCTATGCCGGTGTAACAGCTCAGTAATGGCGTCGCCACAAGATGGCAGCCTACACAAGAACGCTCGTCAGATTCGTCTATAGGTGACGCTTTTGACGTTGCGTCTAAATCCGACGCACATGGCACCCTTTAGCGTCAATATAACATGCTTAGGTTATGGGTAGGTTTAGGTCTGGGGTAGTGTTAGGGTTAGACCACTAGGAGGCGCCTTCTGGCCCATATAGGCTATATCTGCATCTCATATTGACACTAAAGGGTGATGTACTGGAGACGCAATGTCAAAAGTGTCACCTATATGATGCCTTGGGGATGAGACCAGGCTGGACAAAATGTAAGCAGTTATTCACTGAAAAGTTTCTCCTCCACTGTAGCTCTCAAATTAAATAGTACTAAACAGCAGTGACATTATGATTCTATCTTTCTATCTACTATTTACTATTCTATCTTTATTTCAGAGCTTCGACAGGAATATAGCACTCAAATTGGCTTTTATTATAGCTTAATGTTGAATTTACACACATAATTGCCCCAACTAGGGTCAAAATAGGTGTGGGAGATAGAACTCCAATCCAACCTGAACTTACAATGTTTACTTTTTTTTCTCTACCCATAACACTCAAATGGGTCTGCAGAAACTTTAAGAGCACATTATACAATTAGATAAGCAAGTTAAGCTACTTCAAGGACTCTGAGCTAATATACATAATCCTGAAAAGGCCTGAATACCAAGAGCATGACTAGAGAAAGCAATAATTTAAAACCATGTACTCTGTTTTCTCTCCCACAGCAATCGTGCTGCTTACTAACCTTGAGCCCAACACTACATATGAGGTGAGAGTAGCAGCGATGAATGGAAAAGGTCAGGGGGAGTTCAGCCGCACAGAGAGCTTTCAAACTCTTCCCATACGTGAGTGCCCTCTGCTTTGACCCTTAAACTGCGTAGGTTTGGATAAACAACCTTCAGCCTTTACTCTATTGTAGTAGCATGTTGCTGCCAACCATTGAATTAATAGACAACCAGTTATGAATATGAATGTAGGTCATTCATACATTTTCTTTTTTCCGTTCAGGAGAGCCAAGTCCCCCTTCGGTTCAGGGTCAACGAGGGGTGGGGAAGGCATACCGGCTGGGTCTGGTCAAGCAGGACGATGGAGGAATGCCCATTCTGGAATACATTGTCAAATACAAAACAGTAAGTGAGCTGCTCAATGAACCAGTCTCGCACGTTTACTCACTTTACTTTTGATGATGCAGAATACAGAGGTACAACCACTTTATATGGAAGGTTTTTTTTTAAGTTATTTCATTATTTACTTATTTATTCATTATAATCATTTATTAATTATAATGTGAACGGTTTTTGTTGGAGGATTTTACTGTTATTTGTTTTAGGATATTAATATGGATGGATGAATGGATGGATGGTGGGTGGGTGGATGGATCAATATCCTAGAAATATGCATGCTAGTAAGCAACTTGGTAATAGTGAGAATTGGACCATAAATGTAAGTGTTACTATCATTTTTTTTTTTATTATGACTATCAGGGGATTGTTAGTTTGTGTCCAGCAGAACAGCATTTTACAAATTGCAATGATCTTCGTCATTAACGAGCTGTAGAAACCTGCACTAAAACGAATCCTGTGGTTCTTGGGGTTTTTTTGTGTTTTTTTTTTTTTGTAAGTAAAGCGTCTGATATTGAGCTGAAATGCAGAGGGTGTATTCTAGTAAACACATGGAGATGAGTGGGCGATGGTTTCGGTAATGAGCAGTGAAAATGCATTTCTTTGCCCAAGCCCCTTGTTTATTCACCAGCACGATCTACAGCGTGCATAAAAAACATTCTTAACTAATTCCTTCTCAAGATATTCTGTTGTTTTTAGGGCTTATCTTCCCAGTAACTATGTGGGCAGTGTCACTGCACTGCCATTTTCTGTAGAACTGGTGTGCGTGTGATAGATGGGTCTGGGTGGATCAGGTGTTGCGTATTGTTGATGAATTAACTGAAATCACATACACTGTGGGGGAAAGCCAATACTTCCCATGAGAATATTTGGCCTATGAATATAAAAACAATTTAAGTCAAAGGAAAGTCCCCATTATGATAGAAAAAAAGCAATGTGCAAGGGGCTTTCAGAGATATTCTCAATGGGGAAAAGACCAATTTATTATTATTATTATTTATTCCAAAAATATAAAATGTTTTCTTTTAGGGTTATGTTCATAATTTGGGTTGAGGGTAAAAAAAATTGTAAAAAAAAAAAAAAAAATGTAATTATTATTAGCTTTACGTGAAATCAATAGAAATCTAAGGTATATTCTCATTTACATAGCTAAAAAAAATGTAATCTGATCCATTGGACTCGATCCTTAAAGAGTAAAATTACCTCTTTTTTTTATATTATTTGGTTATATTATTTGTAAAGTTACTCAGAGTTAGTGGAATGTCTAAAGTGGGCTTTCGAAGTAAACAGTTACCATTAATTTTATTTTAAGTTGAATAAGTGTGACCCTACGATTACTCTAACTACAAAAATGTCCACAATGTGCATTATAGCTCGATCTAGGTTAAATTCTGTAAGCTATGTTTCTTTCAAAGGTATTACAACTCTGTGCATGTAAGAACACTTTTAATACGCTTATTTTGCACAATTAGTGGCGGATGCAGCCCAGCATTTAACATTTTGGCACCATAGACAGTAATGACTAATAATGACTGGCACCATAGAAAGAAATGGACCGAGCGACCCCATTGATTTCAACGGAGAAGACTGAAGCCCGATCACTTCCTGTCTGATGTCTGAGTGACTGCACAGGCTCAAACTGAGTTTGACGACAGTCTGACAGTTGTAAATCTTCTAGTAGCTGTGCCAAGCCAAAACGTTGTTGAAATATTTTCTCCCCTTGCTTTTATGGACTCTCCATCTATGGGCTTCTCCCTCGACTTTGTGCCTCCATGTCCCCCCGATTGCCCCATAGACAGTAAAAGATTGCCTGCGAGCTTCTCTTCGGGCGACAGAAAGTTGTGTAGTGATGACGCAATCGTTAGGCTATTTTTTCACAAAAACGTCATCTACGGGGCCATAACGTATGATACAAAGTAATGGAGCGTTTTATACATTGTTGTGTTTCTTTAGAAATAAATAATGGACAAATGAAGTCTTTGGACACCTCAGATGTAAAGTTATTCTCTGTCAAAGTGACGCCAAAATGAATGGGAGTCAATGCTAACAGCAGGTGAAGTTCTACTACAATGGCGGCTCCCATGAGGCTTCAACTTCCGGCTGATGGATTACCCCCTTGTTTGGCAGTCCTTTAAGCCGTCTTTTATTTTCCTCTGACATTCGCAACAATTTCTGAATTTCGCCCCCTAGTGGCAGTCGCATGGAACTTTTCACTTTTCAACTTTTGTACTTACAAAATATAATTATCTGTACCCACTAATTTTACAGAAATAGTGTTCTCGCCTCACGCTTATTTGTTTTTTTTTTATCTGGTCGGGCGGTCACATAAAATTTAGCCACAAAATTTTTAATTTTTCAACGCACCCGAAGCTCAAATCAGATGCGTAAGTTTCACATATAAATATTGTTGAAACTCCTAATGACTTCTGGACAGTCATAGCAAATCAGCATGGTATAAAATGGTGTAGGAATGATGTATTTTTGGAAGCCAAAACAAGAAACGAGTTTTTTGGCACTTCCGGTTCCATAGTCCTAAAGTCAATAGTTTTTTTTTTTTTTTTTTTTTTTTTTTTAAGGGTTTTTGGTTAAATGCTTGAAAAAGGTCTGTGGTGAACACAAGCTCAATGTATGTATCAAATAGATCAGTAATACCCTCTTGTGATTTTTTTTTATTTATTTTTTTTTTTTTTTTACTTGCCTTGTAAAAGGTTGTTGCTTACAAGTGGCTAAATGGGACTACAGAGATTGTCAGTAAACCTGCTGAACAGGTAAACTCATCTACTCACTAGTCCGCATTCACAGCCTCGCTGTATTTTTAATCATGCTCTTGCAAACTATTGTCTCTGCAATCACGGCCTGATCCCCTCCCCCGGTACCGGTACCTGTTCAGTCAATGCATTCTCATCCCAAGAGAATGTGATACGCCCAACATTCAACCCGAAAATATTCATTTAACTAAATGTTAAAAAAAAAAAAAAAAAAAAAAAAAAAAAACTGCATAGTGCTGCTTTAATTCTCAAATTCTTTGGGAAAATGTTTTTAAACAAAGATTGAAAGAGTTGTCAGAACGAGTTGTCAGAACTTAATGATGGTGAGTGAAGTTGAAGTCATTGGACTGTAGTGTATTTTGTTCATAGTATTTATGCTTAGATCCACAAACGTTATGTTGATTTGTGAAGATTATCATGATAAACAAAACTTGCAAGAATCATAAGCTTTTGTTAGTCACAGACCTTATTTTCAGCAACAATCCAAAAGCCAATGGAAAAATAATGTAAGGTTCATGCTAACTTCCAAAAATACAGTCACATGACTGTTGTAGTCAATATTTGTAAGTAGCATAAAATTAGACCCTTCAACAAGTAGATCTCACATGGAGAAGGAGCTGTGCCCATGAGGATGTCAGCATTCTAAAGACCTTGTGCGACTTTGCGTCATGTAGTTACCTCACAATCAATAAAGTTTGTCTACAGGTTGTGAATTGTTATTGAGTGTTACCACACTAGTATGTACACACATTCACCACAGCTCACTTGCTCTCTCTCCTACAATCCCTCAGTTTGTTTTTCGCCTCATGGGCCTCAACATTTCCTCATTTACTTCATCTTTGTCTCAGTCTGTTTGGTGATGCCTCACTTCCTCTACCTAATAGGGTCCGCTGGCATCTTTTCCTTCTCTTTTATTTGCACTCTTCCCTTTTTTCTTTTTTTTTCTTTATCTCGCTCTCCCTCTCTCACATTTGCTTGTCTCTGATCTCCTGTGCATGTGGAGGTGAGAACAGGGGAAATGGAGATGTCACAGTATGCCTAAGGACTGTCGACATGTGAAAGGCACATTCAACCATTTAGCCTTTAAAGAGCTGAGAGCATTTTGAAAATGTCAAAATATAAAAGCAGTGAGTTTTTGAAGGCAGTACGTGGGGCTAGTTTCAAAATTTTAGCTGGCGGAACAGCTGGCACACACACACACACACACACACACACACACATTTTATTATGTTTACACTCGTGCTCAAATGCTCTGCAGGCAGTGTTTCTGTAAGTGTGCGAAAAAGTTTGAGGATTAGAGAAAAGCATCTCGGATCTGTTGCTCGGAGGATGACATCAGATGGCCTCTTAATATATAATCTTATGTTTTGATTTCCATCCATCAGAGAAAATCGATGAAGTACAATTTATGTTTAAAAATAAATTACCTAATTGTATTTACATTTGCAACCAATCAATTGACAAAAATGTGACAAATGTGACAAATAAAATGACAAATTATCTAATTAATTGATAATTAAAAATATGTTATTTGAATATAAGTGAATTTCCATTGCTAAACAAATGTGATCTGTTCCATTTCGCCCATTGAAGAGCACAATATCATTTTTAATTTTTCCATTGTTACAAATAAAACTACGGGTCTCATTCACTAATCATGTGTACACACGTGTGTGCAACATTTTTTTTTTTTTTTTTTTTTTTTTACGCAGATATTAAAAACCATTGTAAAAATAGCCTATATTCATACAATATGTACAACAATAACAAGATTATTAATGCCGATAAGGTGTCATATGTACAGTATGTGTCAAAATATACTGTAGTGAGCAGAGGTGTAAGAAAATAAAACTTCTTCCACATGTTTATTCCACCCATGAACTCAGCCAGCTGATTTCACTAATTAGTTCTATCTTCATGGCTGAAAAACTGTGTTAATTAGCAAATCCGGGTGATTGGAACAAAATACTGAGGAGGACTATTACTTTCTGAACCTGGACTTTACACCTCCAACAGTGAGAACGAATTGTTCGAACAAGTCTTATGCCCTAAGCCAAATGTATAGTCATATGCTACTCATACTGTATGTGTATGCTTGTGCATGTTTTATGAAACACTTGTGGTTTTGTGTAGGACAAGGAAGAACAGTGGATGACAAAACTGGTTCCAGGTGTGAATGATTTTGTGCTGCTGCAACCGCTCCAGTGGAATACGCAGTATGAGGTGGAAATCACCGCCCGCAACGTCAAAGGCCTGTCTGAACCAACTTTTGTGAAGTTCTCCATGCCTCAGAAACCTGATATCACAGGTACAAGTACGTCCACAACACATGTAAAGTATTACTCTTTTTCATACGACAAATTGAGTCCGATTACTTACAGCACTTCATCACCCACTCACAATACCTATAGCTGAAATGATATGTCTCCTATTATAATTATATGCTCCGCTACAGTTCTGCACACTTGCCAGCCACCCACGCTTGATGGAGCTCATGTATATCAGAATCACAATCAAACGTGTTACCGATTCTGTGTACTAATCAGGAGCAAATTGTCCGAAAAAAAATGCTTTCTCCTTAGGAAAAAAAGAGATGAGGAAGATCATCGGTAAAAAAATAAAACGAGTATTATTCACACCAAGGACGATCACTATAACAATAGCAATAACTAAATTACCATCCACACCAACACACGATTTCATTCTGCTTGTTCTATGTGAATGCGAGAGCTGCAGTTTTGTCATCTGCCACCTTAAATTCTCAAGCTCTTTAAAGCAGAATGGATCCTGATTGCTATCAATGTCTTTATCGTTCATTATAGCGATATTCTTCCTCTGTGTCGTTATCCTTGTTTAGTCTTGTTGTGTCGTTAAGAAGGATTTTTAGATCTACATTAAAACATTTTTTTTATCATTATTGTTAATAGTTATCATCCTTGGTGTGACCTAATATCACTGTTTGGCTGACCATGTACAATTTGCACTGAAGGTCTTTTTAAGTCATGCTTTTATAAGAAAGTTTTTAATATTTACTGGGTTCCAACAAATCTGGGGTTACAATGAAATCAGAAAAATTCAAGAATCAATCAATCATGGTAGCCAACGGGTGTCTGAATGGTGTAAGCATGAAGGGTAATTTGCTGGATGCACATATATAGTAAAACTGAGTTCAACCAGCCAAATCCATTGAAGGGTTTGTGTTCCCCATCAGTAATACAATAATGCCTTTCTAATGTTTTTTTAAATGGAGAGCAATGTAATGGTAAACACATTTTAAAGAGGTCTGTTTATTTGCTGTCTACTCTCAATACCTCTGTGTTTGTGTGGAAGGAATATCAGAAAGAGATTCCTGAATCTCATGCTAGAACTTTCATTTGGTTTAAAATAACACTCAAATTATAGCCACTGCATCTACTGTAAACAGAAAAGCATGTTTTTGTTTACACACAATAGTAGAATTGTTTTGGAAAAGACCATTTTCTCTCAGGCCAAAGATTTACACTCACCTAAAGGATTATTAGAAACATCTGTTCAATGTCTCATTAATGCAATTATCTAATCAGCCAATCACATGCTTCAATGCATTTAGGGGTGTGGTCCTGGTCAAGACAATCTCCTGAACTCCAAACTGAATGTCAGAATGGGAAAGAAAGGTGATTTAAGCCATTTTGAGCGTGGCATGATTGTTGGTGCCAAACGGGCCGGTCTGAGTATTTCACAATCTGCTCAGTTACTGGGATTTTCATGCAGAACCATTTCTAGGGTTTACAAAGAATCTTGTGAACAGGGAAAAACATCCAGTATGTGGCAGTCCTGTGGGCCAAAATGCCTTGTTGATGCTAGAGGCCAGAGGAGAATGGGCCGACTGATTCAAGCTGATAGAAGAGCAACTTTGACTGAAATAACCACTCGTTACAACCGAGGTATGCAGCAAAGCATTTGTGAAGCCACAACACGCACAACCTTGAGGCGGATGGGCTACAACAGCAGAAGAGCCCACCGGGCACCACTCATCTCCACTACAAATAGGAAAAAGAGGCTACAATTTGCAAGAGCTCACTAAAATTGGACAGTTGAAGACTGGAAAAATGTTGCCTGGTCTGATGAGTCTCGATTTCTGTTGAGACATTCAGATGGTAGAGTCAGAATTTGGCGTAAACAGAATGAGAACATGGATCCATCATGCCTTGTTACCACTGTGCAGGCTGGTGGTGGTGGTGTAATGGTGTGGAGGATGTTTTAGCACACTTTAGGCTCCTTAGCGCCAATTGGGCATCATTTAAATGCCACGGCCTACCTGAGCATTGTTTCTGACCATGTCCATCCCTTTATGGCCACCATGTACCCATCCTCTGATGGCTACTTCCAGCTGGATAATGCACCACAAAGCTTGAATCATTTCAAATTGGTTTCTTGAACATGACAATGAGTTCACTGTAGGGGTGTGGAAAGCAGCCGGTATTTGTATCTGTATTTGCAATTGCTGAGGGGGAAAAGTATTGGTATTTGTATTCGAGTAAGGCCACGCCCCTTGTCGGGTTCCGACTTGTAATGACGTAGGGCGAGCTCATTGGTCGCACATCAGAGGCACCCGCGCCTTTGGATGTGCAGTTGCCACACAGCCTATGATTGAGCCAGACGCTCCGTGTGCTAGCTGTGAAGCTGCAAATTGAATCAATGCCACGTAGAATTAAGGCAGTTCTGAAGGAAAGAGGGTCAAACACGGTATTAGTATGATGTTCCTAATAATCCTTTAGGTGAGTGTATATGCTTTAATGATAATGGTGGGTTTTTTTACATTTTACATCACTTACTGCGCTGATACTTTTTAGCTTTGTTATCCAGAAGTACTAAGATTTTTTTATTTTTTTATTTATTTATTTTTTGCTAAATAGACATTCTAGATATATCTTGGAAATTTGCAAACGCTTTTCTATTTATTAATAAAAAAAAAATATGTATGAATCACAATATGATCATGAAATAAACTGCACAAAATCAATTAGACAATGATTCAATTCCAAGTTCAATTTAAAGATTCTTTATACACATGTTGTGGATTGTTTTATTTTTAACTACCTCCCACTCTCAATCCTGGAAATTTGTCTTTTGGTTTGATAGATGTTTGGAATAGAGGATAAATGCAGTACATAATGGTGTCGATGTTAAGTGTTTCGCTTTGAGTGCGTCAGGTCTCAGGCTCATACCTGCTCTAATAACAATGTTTGTTTTAATGAACCAAGCTAAATTGCAGCTGTACGTGAGTGGATATATATATTAGTGGATGCAATTGACAAACAAAATTGCAGCTGCAAGCTGTTTCATAATTGTGGGGACATGTCCTCACATTACCACCATAATATGACAGACAGACGGACGGACAGAATTCTATGATACTGACAGATGATATTTAAATTTATCCAATTATATGTGAAATATTCCTAGATGCTGTGTCAGTGCATACATAGGTGTATCTGAATATAAAAAACTCAGCGTTGAGTGTGTGTGTTGAAAGCACTGCTCCTCGGCAGCTGGGATTTACCTTGTTAATTCGATGTCATTTGTATATTCTTTCCCAACTCCTTCTCATCCTTTCCTTTTTCTCTCTTTCTCCACCTGCACCCCTTCATCCCCACTGGCCCATTCTCTTATTTATAATTCTATCGTGCTTCGTCTCGTTGTTTCACTCAAAACAATCCTGTTCTCCAATTCCCACCTAATGAATTATGCAACGCATTCTGGGTTACACCGCAAATCGCTGGGCTTTTTGTTTTGTTTACTGCCACTAAACTTGCTTTTCTGTGTGCCTATAAACACCCTGCGATTCTTTCAATCAAACAAACCTTTACAATGGACACTGGTTTGGACTGCTCACTCACTCCTCACTCATATGTCAACATTTTTGTTACATTCACCCATGTTTATTTCCTGTCCTGCACCTAAATAATCTCTCATTTCCACTCTTGCAATAATCATTTTTACTAACCCAACGCATTCTCTCGTGTGTGTAACCATCCTGTGTCCTTTGCTGGCTCCACACACCTACTGTATGTCTTTCCCTCTTCCTTCCCACTCCCTCTCCCCTCCATCTCATTGCAGATCAGTGTTGCAAGCCCCATCCAACCGGACGTGGACGTCCCCATGCGCAGCCTGTCCATACGGTGACCGTCTTCGGAGCTTCTCTGTCATTGTTGCTGTGCTCATGTCTGTGTTGACATTGCTCCATCTTCACTTTGCCTGGAATGAGCCCAAAAGACTGACCCAGGGACTTTTTCTTTTCACCCCCACCAATGGCTCGCTGATCCTTAGCCGTGCCGGTTCAATGCTCCTTATCAAACTCTGGTGTCGTACTTGTAATCGTCCGAGCCTGTATGCTTGTGAGCTGATCCCTTCACTATTCTGGCCTCATTCCAAATCCAGCTTTTTGATTCATAAAGGTGTTGCATATTACTGAGAACAATGGAAGAGGAAAAACTGAGTTATTCATTTACTCAGACCTTTAGTTTTATTTAATGAGCTCCTTTTTGCTGGTGTCTCCAAAAGACACAGTAAGCCACCAGCATTGGCGCTTTTCCATCTTCTGTGCATCCACAGGCTCTTTTGTTTTGGTTTATTATGTCTATGGGAAATGTCAGCAGTTGCATCGCTTGAGAGAATGCATTTAATGATGTTGCTGATACACGCACACAAAGATATAGAACGCAGCACTCATTAAATGGAGTCAAGTAGGATTTCAAATTGATATGACTTTTAAACACTGGTATCATAAATCAAACAGCCCGACTTTCTGTTAGCCATAATGTGAGAAACATAAAACAAGACTTCTCCCTTGCAGTGAGTCAAAATATAATGCACATTAATTTTCATTTTCAGGGTACACCTCTGGCAGACACATTTTCATGCCACTTTATTGTATATTCTCAGTATTGATGAGAAAGAACATTACTGGAATCATGCACGGACTGTGAATATGAATATATGTGTAGAATGTTGGAGTAATATGAATCCAGTGAATTAAGCTAACACTCATTGTTCCATGTCATTGTAAAGGACTAAAATCAGCTGAGAGTTTAGGTCGGTTGGATTTTTGAATTGTTTTGTGAAAGTATTATGGGCTCCAAGGCTGCATTTATTTGATTAAATATACACTACCGGTCAAAAGTTTTAGATCAGTAAGATTTTTTAATAAGTTAGTTTCACCAAGGCTGCTTTATTTGATATTGTCAAACAGTAATATTGTGAAATATTATGACAATTTAAAATGTCTGTTTTCTATTTAAATATGTTTTAAAATGTACTGTAATTTGA